CTCTCTCACACACACACACACACACACACACGTGCACACACACACATGCACGCACACGCATGAACCAAGCTGACCTCAAATTCATTACATGCCCCAAAATGGCCTGGAACTCCTGATTCCCCAGCCTTCACTCCCCTAGTGCTGGGAGTAGACGCATGCACCACCATGCCCAGTTATCACAATGTGGGGGATCCAAACCCAGGACCTCGTGCATGCTAGGCGAACACTCTACCAATTAAGCTGCGTCCTCAGCTTTTCCTCGTTCCTATAATTAGGTGATGGGAATAGAAGGAAGGATCTCTGCTCCTTCAGCTCTGACATTCTGGGGAAGGACGTTCAAAATTGGACTTTGGGACTAGGCGCGCCTTCCTGCTCCTGCTCATTGCTTGTGTGACACTAAGCTGCTGCGTCTCCGAAGCCTGTCTGTTTCAAGGCCAGCAGCATATTTCACAGGCATGGAGTGGGGGGGGTTCATGGGTTGTTTGCACACGCAGCATTCTATTATTTATAAAAATAATTTTCTAGTTTGGTACCAGACGCTGATCTTTTCACTTTAGCCAGAAATACTAAGTCTGCCTCTGCCCCAGTGGTCCGAACGGACTGACCCTCCTTCCTCTCTTCCAGAGCCTATTGAAACGCTACCAGCCCCACCGGGTCCCGTCCACATGCTGTGCCCCTGTGAAGACCAAGCCACTGAGCATGCTCTATGTGGACAATGGCAGGGTGCTCCTGGAACACCACAAGGACATGATTGTGGAGGAGTGTGGGTGCCTCTGACGGAGCCAGGGAGGTGCTGAATCAGCTTGCCCTCCACAGTGCTGCACTCCGGGGAGACCCCACAGTGTCTATCGGGGAGCAGAAATGGAAGAAAGGCTCTGCCCGCCAGAGCGGAAGAGGAAGGCCTGCCCCCTGTGCATACAGGGCTCTGAGACCTGCCAGGCCAGAGGCGACTGCGGGGGAGGCAGGAATGGGGAAGCCTTGCAGGGGCTGGCTGGGCTCCCTGGAAACAGGGGTTATGAACTGAGCGAGTGCTTTTTAAACTTTGAAGCCCTTGAGATGGTGTGCAAAGGCTGGGGTATATATGTATTTATTTTTGAGGCCTTCTGTAGCTTTCCTGTGTTCTTCAAAGCGGTCTGTGACCCACTGCCTCCCTAAAGATCGGTATAATGTTATTAGATTAAAACTAGCCATTTGGCTCTCCCTGCTTCAAGCTGGGCTAGGGGAACCCCACAACTTTCTGGCTGGCTGGGGCTAATGTGGCCTTCCTCAGCGGCTCCCTGATCTCTGCTAATGAGTTGCCTAAACAATAAAGCCACTGTCCAGCTCTCCCGGGGCCAGCTGGTGCCTTTGACCAGAGAGGCGGGCACTTGTCCAAGAGGGACTGGCCCAGGTGGACAATATAGAAGCCAGAGCGTCAGACGTCTGCTTGGCAGACATAACCCAACTCTATTAAAAGTCAGTGACAATTCACCTCAGGCTTTCAAGGTGTGTTTTGGGGACCTGAGTTTTCCGGTCCAGCCGGGGATGGGGTTGTGGTCACAGCTTTTCGCAGGGAGGCTGTGTGATGTGGGAGAACATTCACTGCCTGGCCTCCTCTGGTGAAAAGAAGCGGCAGAGCCGGATTCATTCGTAGGAAGTACCCCTGAGGGCTAGGGAATGATTGTGATTCAGTGGCAGCTACTTGCTTAGTATATGAAAGACTCCGGCTAAACCCCTGCATACCAAAGCTGGGCCTGCGGAGCACACCTTTACAGTGCAAAGGGCAAGAAGAGAGCTCTGTGAACTCAAAGCCAGCCTGGTCTACATGTGAGCTCCAGGACAGCCAGACGACACAGGGAGCCCCTGTCTCAAAATAGTTAAACCCAGCATGAAAGGGAGGACCGAGGGTCTTCAACTGGGTTGTCCTCTGGGCCTTCTCCCATCTTTGAGCCTTTAAGCCTTAAAGTATGGGACTTGCTAAGCCCTTTTGGGGGTGGGGGTTAACTCCTGATTCTGCATAGAAGGAAGCTCAGCTTTTCTTTCTTCTTTCCTTCCTTCCTTTCTTATGTATACAATATTCTGCCTCCAAGTAGTATGCCTGCAGGCCCAAAGAGGGCATCAGATCTCATTACAGATGGTTGAGAGCCACCATGTGGTTGCTGGGAATTGAACTCAGGATCTCTGGAAGAGCAGCCAGTGCTCTTAACCTCTGAGCCATCTTTCCAGCTCCCGAAACACAGCTTTCTAAAGAAAGTTCTACCACAACCCCCAGCCCCAAACAAAAACTAAACCTTCAATCCCAGCCCTAGGGAGGCAGAGACAGGCGAATCTCTGAGTTCCAGACCAGCCTGGTCTACAAAGTGAGTTCCAGGACAGCCAGGGCTACACAGAAAAATCTGGTCGGGGTTGAGGGAATGGGTGTGGGGTTGGGAAGTAAATTCTACCACTAAAATATCTGAGCAGCTGCTTGTTCTTTTGGCTGGGGGATGGGGCTTTGGGGGACCCAAGTCCACAGGAGCCCTACTTTGCTTCCCAGGATGCCCATCCATTTTGCTCCAGCCCTGGCTCAATCACGGCAGTTAGACTGGTCCAAGCAGGGACTGGGTTGGCTACAGCCTAGCCTGGGCTTGACAAAGCCGAAGGCCCAGGACTCAGCAGCAGAGATGGGTCTAAGCGAGCTCCAAGCTGAGTTGGGAATTTTGCTTTTTAGACGCAACCAGCCTGAAACTCAAGGCAATCCTCCTGCTTCAGATTCTCAAATGTTAGGATCACTCACCTCTACCACCATGCCAAGCCAAATTTTACTTTTGAAAACAGCCTCATGAGGTCCACTCGTCCCAACTGCTTTTCTGATGATGTTACCCCAGAGAGGCCTCACGGACGGCACAGCAGTGCTGAGAGATCCAGGGTACCTGGGTGGCATCTAGAGGACTAGGCTAACCCAGCTTAGACCAAAGGCTTCATCCCCAGGGCACAAGCCCACCATGGAGCTGGAGTTCTTGGGAGTCAAGTGGCGTCTTGGGGCTTTAGGAAGCAGGTGCCTGTAGTTCTGACACAGCCAGACAGCAGGGCCAGCAGAGCCAAAGGCCAAGCTATTTGTGGCTCCAGCCTGTGGGAGTGTTTACAGTTGCCTGTCCCATGAAGTTGTGACAACGCTCCCTGGTGACATGGTATGGCCTGTGTCAAACTAGGGATGTGGGCACAAAGCGATCAACTACGTGTACTGGTCATGCCCGTCATGCTCGCTGCAGGGCCACTGTGCTGCCCTGGCCGGGGGTATCTGGGTGCCAGTGTCTAACCACGGCTCTGGATCTGGTCCATGGGTTGGCAGGATGCCTTGGACTGCCTGCCTCTGAGAACTGTCCTGAATGTGGGGCTTTAATAGTTATTTGCTCTCAAGGCAAAGGTCTGGTGTTCTGCAACTGCAAAGCAGAAACAATTGCTACCTACACACACACACACACACACACACACACACACACACACACACACACACACACGCCACTTGACAAGTCGGTGGGTCTGGCAGTAGCAGCAATAAGACAGTACGGGCACAACCTCTGCTCCACAACCTGTTTATCTCCGCCTTAAGAATCCTTTCACAGCAGGAAGATCCCATCCCTCCATCCCCAGGAAAGGCTCTGCAGGTTATCCCAGCTCCAATGTCCCTTTAGCTCTAGGTCCATACAGTTGCATCTGCTCTAACCCACGCCTGCACGAGGGTCTCCACAGGCTGGTGATTCAAACACAGCTGAGCTTCGTGTTGTTTTGAGAGGGTCTCACGGTATAGCCCATGCTGGTCTGGAAGTCAACAGTAATCCTGCCTCAGCCTAGCAAAGTGATGTTCTCGTTCACCTGAGTTCTTTTATAAGAACTGGCTGTACCAGCATGAGGCACAGATTGTTCTGGCCTTACAAGCACCTATAAAATGATTTCTTCACCCTGATAAGAGATCGGAGGTTGAGAGATCTAAGAATCTTCCCATGGAACTGAGGCTGCCCCACCCAAGGTCCAGCCCCAAACCTCTACTCTATGCACTGTCTTGATAAGCTAAGCCTCATTTTTTTCTGTGAACCTGTCCACAGCCACTGAGAGAACCAAGACAAGCCTGGCTCATGCAGAACAGCCTAGAGCGGCAGCTCTCAACCTGTGGGTTGAGTATCAGATATCACGCATATCAGCTATTTACAATTCATAACAGCAGTAAAACCACCACTATGAAATAGTGATGAAATCATTTTATGGCTGGGTCACCACAACATGAGGAACTGTATTAGAGATACAGCATTAGGTAAGTTGAGAACCACTGGCCTAGAACAAGACACATATGCCAGGGCTGCCCTCTCACAGCAGGGAGAGGCCATCAAGCTCCTGTGTTTACACTCACAGGAACAGAATGACAGTGAGCCATTAGATCATTAGCTGATTCCACAGAAAGCAGCTGGCCTATTCTGCCTGGATCCTCTGGGCGGAGACTTGCCAAATGTGAATAACCCACAATAGTACCCTGGAAACTGTTTTGGTGTTTAGGGTGTGTGTGTGCGTGCGTGCGTGCGTGCGTGCGTGCGTGCGTGCGTGCGTGCGTGTGTGTGTGTGTGTGTGTGTGTGTGTGTGTGTGTGTGTG